TTTGGAGCTCCTGACGTGACACTGACGACAGCTGCCCCCATCACGGTCTGCCCCCGAGACTGGACGGGCAGTTCGAGGCTGCCCAGCTCTGGTACCCGCGGCACAAAGGGAACGCACAGTCGGGGAGGTGAGAAGTCCGATGGACCAAGATCCATCGCTCTGAGTCAGGCAGGAAACCATGAGGGACACCAGTTTCCCCAGCAGCGCCGAGGGCACGCACCCTCCTGGGCGCCGGTCCCAGCGGGCTGGGGGAATCCGAGCGACAGAAGGCAGACGCCGATTTGATGTTCTTGTGGGAAGCGAACGCCCATCCCAAGAAAAACATCAGGCAGGATTCCTGGGTTCCCTGATTCTGTTCACAGTGTCCGACAGCCCAAGGGGGAGGAGGCCGGGCTTCGTGCCAACGGCTGTGAGAGCCAGGGAACATTTCCACGGTCTTATTTTAGGATGGGTAACGCTGTAAACAACCCCGGTGCCCAGGCCGCAGACGGCTCGTCTAGACCCTGATGTGAAGCAGAAGGTCACCAGGGAGGCAGACAGCCCAGATGTGCTCGGCCCATGTGACCAGGGCTGAGGCCCGGCCAGCGCTGGCTCCCGGACAGGGACACTCGCCTCACCTCCCGGGTGCTGAAGCTGGGACACCGCCGCCTGCGCCGGGGCATGAGGTCAGGGCGCCAGCAGCTGCTGGGGAGCTGGCGAGCGGGAGGAGACACGTGTCCCCGCCAAGGGCGCCCACCCCGTGAGGTTACCAGAGAAAGAGGGTTTGCGGCTGATCGAGCCTCGAGGACATCAAAGGCAGAAAAGTCAAGGGAGTGGAGGGGAGTGATGCTGGCAGAGGTGCTTGCTGGAGACAAAGAATGCAAGGTCCCAGGAAGGGCCAAGTTTTGTGGCTAAAATCACAGGTGCCAGATCTGGATGTCAGGTCCCCCTTCCCCTCGGTCCCCAGCCCCTGGCTCACATCTCAGCTCCACTGCTCATACCGGGTTCCCTCCTCCCAGCTCCACCACCTACATGGAGCCCCCAGCCTCACACGCACACTGGGTTCCCTCCTCCCAGCTCCACCATCTACACTGCATTCCCCCGCAACCCCACCACTCACACTGGGTCACGTCCCAGCTTCACCGCCTACAGCTGGGCCTCAGTTTCCCAAATGCAGATCAGACGTAACATTTGCGTCTCAGGTTTGTTTGGTGGAGTAAATGCACTCATATAAATACGACAGACACACAGACCACTCAGCATCTGGAGCACAGGTCACTCAGTGAACGTGAGACGCTCTGCCATCACCTCTGTCGGGCAGGGCATCGCTGACTCTCCCCCGAAGCCTGCAGCCCACCCGCGCCCAGGCCGTGCCAACTAGGAGTCACAGAGCCGCCAGCCCGCTCCTCTGACAAGGTGGCTCCTGGCGATCAGACCTCCGACAGCTCACTGGAACTCTGCCTCAGTGTCCCCCACCCCTCGGGGTCGGGGAGAGCAGCTGTATTATGGACACCTGGGTCTTGCTTCACAATAGAAGGTGGCTGTCACCTTCAGGGTCAAGTGAAAACTCCTCTCCCCTGAGGAGATGAGATTCAAAGCCAGGAATGTTACAAGGACGCTCCTCCAAGCCTCCTCTGGTCCTGGCGCTCAGGGAAGCCCGGTGTTCATGGCCCCGTTTATCCAGATGAAGATACCGGGCTGACATTTTTTCAGAGAACTAAAATTCATCTTTAGGCACCAAATGATTTGCATTATTATTACTTTTTAACCATTTTTATGAGACTCTTTCTATAACATATAAACAGCCTGTAATGCCCCTGATCTAGGCGGAATTTGGGCCAATACGTTAAAAAGTCTCACAAAGCAACAAGTACAGAAGAACCAGGGAAAAAAAACAAATCCACTGGGCCCTCCAGCCTCCCACAGGTGGAATCAACACGTCCACACCCCAGCAGCCAGGTGCTCAGACTCGGGCCCGGGGGCTCACCTGCTTGGCGACGTCCTGGCGGGGAGGTAAGGAGCCGGGCGCGAGCACAGGGGGGCTCTCCAGGCCACAGAGCTCGGGGAAGGGGTTGGGGATGGCCGGCAGGGACGAGGTCCTGAACTGCTGGTCCTCCTCCTGCAGGCGCCTGGGAGGGCAGAGACAAGGGCTCATTAAAGGCTGATGCGCTCAGGGTCCGGCAGCCCCGCTTCTGGGAAAATGAATGAACATGAATGAAAAACCTGAAAGAGAGACTCCAAGAGATGTCTGCACACCCGTGTTCACCCTGCGCTGCTCCAAACACTCGGAAGGTGAAGCAGCCAAGTGACCATGGCTTCCCTCCTCCCAGCTCCACCACCTACACCAGGGCCCCAGCCTCACACACACACCAGGTTCTGTGAGCCGCCACGGAGTGATACCACATTCTCCCACATGTGGTATCAACACGCGATGGGCTACACTCAGCCTGAACGAACCCTGCAGGGGACCACTTCATTGAGGCCCCCGGATGTGTCGCATTCCTGGGGACAGGAAAGGGATGGAGGGTGCCGACTGGGGACCAGGCAGTTGGGGTTTAAGGGCTGCAGAGTTTCAATTCTGCAAGATGAGAGAGTCCGGGATTTGGTTGCATGACAATGTGAATGTTCTCAGCGCTAAGCAAGTAGACACTCAACATGGCCGAGACGGTCAATTTTATGCTGAGCGTACTTTACTACAACTAAAAAAAAAATCTTAAAAAACCCCAAAAAACCTCTGACATTCTCAGACCCAAAGGGTATATAGATTTCCAACTTCGCGGGACACCCGGGGGACAAGTGGTGGCTCACGCCACAAGTGCCACTCCGCGCGTGACGTGGCCTCGGCACCCCCTTCCAAGAGCTTCCTCAGTTTTGTTCAGTGAACCCCTGAAGCGGTTTTGTGTGTCAAAAGCATTTTGCACAAGAACAACTATTTTTCAGTGACCCTGCAATGAACACTTGTCTCACCCAGTGAAAATGTTCGAAGAGGCTGTCCTTATCTGAATAGTGAGACGAACGCTTATGTGCACGCAAAGGACGTCGATGTGGAACTAGTCGGAGATAAACGCTTGCTGGAGCCAGTGTCTGGGCACCTCTGAAACGGCCCCCTGCACCCCGCTCACGTCCCCGAGAGCCACGTCTGAACTTGCATCAGACCGTCCCCTCTCTGGCACGTCTCCAGGGCCACCCCCTACCTCCTTCCCAGCATCAAACCTCACTGGTCACACAAGAGGCCAGACACACAGGATGACGGATCAGATAGTTATGCAAACAGCAGAAAAGCGAAGCTCAGTGTCAAAGCCAAAAACGATGCAGCGTGCTCTGTGTTTCGGCTCCCCAGAGTCCTGCCCACGTGTCCAGGCTCTCCTGGGAGGGGAGCCCCTCCGGCCACCCTGGACATCGCTGCCCAGGGCACAGACGCCCCGAGCTGCAGCAGTTTGGCCCCTGACCTCGCTCCGCATCCCCAGCCCTGCTCCTAACACACCCCTCCCGAACCCCTCATGTAGCCTGCGTCTTCACACTTTGGGGACTAAATCAGTGATCCACTGGCTTCCTTGGGAGATTTGCCCCTAGAGGCACAGCGGCTGCGATTCGCCAGACAATGTGCCGGAGAGCTTGCTTTTAATGCGAACAAATCCCACCCCTTCGGTAACAGCTTCCTGGTGGCCTCCAAGGGGGTCCCCTGTCACACTCAGAGCGCCAGGGCGGGAGACGCAGCCACGCTCCGCTCTCGGGACCTTCCAGCCCAAAGCTGCCGCGCCCCCGGCACCCACGAAGGATGAGTTTTCCTTTGCTCCGAATCACAGCACCCGAAGCTGGCTTTCTGACATCCTGGCTGTCCATGGAAGCTTCTCTCTTTAGTACGTCGTCTTGAGCCTTTTTAAAAAAGTCCTGCGCTAAGTCACAGAGGCCAGACACAGAAGGCCACCTGTCACCCGATTCCATTTGTAGGATGCATCCAGCTTAGATACACCCACAGCTCGGAGGGCAGATGGCTGGCGGCCAGGGCTGCGGGGAGGGGGAGCCTGCTGAGTGGGCAGGGTGCCTCGGCCGTGATGGAGATGCTCTGGGCCCAGATGGAGGGCGTGTCCGGAGGGCGCCCAATGCCCCGGAACATACCCTTTACAGGGATACAGTTTGTGCTGCAGGAATGTCACCTCAACAAGGGATTTTAAAAATGGAGGAAAAAAGTCGCATGTTCACATGTATCATCCAAAGCAAAGCTAAGGGACGTGAGACAAAGCTGAACACAGTCCCATCTGAGAGGCTGGCAGTCAAAGCTCACACCGGTCCGTCCACACTCAGAGATGTGGGGAGCAGAGCTGAGGGGCGGGGTCAGGGACAAGGTCCGTCCAGGTGACAACACGACCGCTGCCCTTCCCCTCACTGCAGCGCCCCCACCTCCTTCAGCACCGTAGCCTCCTCCAGGAAGCCCTCTCACTGCTTCCACCGTCTGCTCGGCTCTTGCCCTGTCTGAACTCCCTTCAGATGTGTGACAAGCTCCGGGGCATCCTCTCCAGGACAGCCCCTGCTCCTTGGGCCCCTGACCTGGGTCCGCATCTGGGCTCCCCACTCACCAGGTGTGGGCCAAGGCACCGCCTCCTGAGAACTGAGGGTCACCACACCACCCACCTTGTATGGCTGCAGTGACTGTCACATCGGCCAATATATGAGGACTCAACAGAGACTTATACACAGGAGGTGCTCAGCACACGTGGGAGGTGATTGATATGGGAGGTGATTGATGGGAGATGACTGACATACACAGGACATGCTTGGCACACATAGAAAGTGATCAGCACACACAGGAAGTGATCAGCACACATGGGAGGTGCTCAGCACACACAGGAAGTGCCCTGCACATATGGGAGGTGATTGATGGGAGGTGATTGACATACACGAGACGTGCTTGGCACACATAGAAAGTGATCAGCACACACAGAAAGTGATCAGCACACATGGGAGGTGCTCAGAACACATAGGAAGTGCCCTGCACACGTGGGAGGTGCTCAGCACACACAAGAAGTGCCCTGCACACGTGGGAGGTGCTCAGCACACACAAGAAGTGCCCTGCACACATGGGAGGTGCTCAGCACACACAGGAAGTGCCCTGCACATATGGGAGGTGATTAATGGGAGGTAACTGACATACGCGGGACATGCTTGGCACACATAGAAAGTGTCAGCACACACAGGAAGTGATCAGCACACATGGGAGGTGCTCAGCACACACAAGAAGTGCCCTGCACACATGGGAGGTGGCTGACCTACATGGTACGTACTTGGCACACACAGGAAGTGATCAGCACACATGGGAGGTGCTCAGCACACACAGAAAGTAATCAGCACACACAGAAAGTGCTCAGTACACAAGGCAGTGATCAGTACACACAGGAGGTGCTCTGCACACACAGAAAGTGCTCAGCATACACAGAAAGTGCTCAGCAGACCTGACAGAGGCCCAAGACGTATTGCACCGCACATCCTCCGGCCAGAGAGCTCCGGAAGGTGGCAGGTGTCAAGCTCTCAACGATCCTCACCTGAACCCACCAGAGCCCATGCAGACCTGGGAGAGGCACGGGCAGTTTCTCAGCTGAGCTTCACAAACATCTCCACCCAAAGGTCTCTGATGCCACCATCACCCTCTTCACAAGCACTGCCAGCTAACTTCTCGCCTATCCGCCCCCCCGGGCAGAGAGGTGCCCTGGACACTGTCCCCACAATCCCCCAATCCACGTGCCAACAAATCTATCATCTCCGCTTTAAAATCCCAGGTCAGGATGCCGCTGCTCTGGGCTGGGCCCTGAAGCAGCTTCCAAATCCCACTGCCCCCGACCCCAAGATGCCAGAGCTACTCACCAAAACCCAAATCCAACCCCCCTCGCCTGTTCAAACCCCTTCCCGGTCTCACCCCTCGGAAGGGCTCTGGGACATGGCCCCAGCCTGTCACACTGTATGTTCTAACTGCCTCTGCGGAGGGATGACGGATGCACAAAAAACGTGCGTCTGTAATAAGCACCCCCTGGACCAGTTTAAAGATAAGGACACAGAGGGACCACCTCCAGTCTAGCCATAAACATGTCCACCCCTTCCACACGCCTACTCCTACCCTCTTCATGTATTATTATTATTTTTAAAATATTCTTGGTTGTTTTTTGGGGGGAGAGGTTTTCTTTAAATTTTTTTAGAGAAGGTTCTGGGGATTGAACCCAGGACCTCCTGTATGCTGAGCATGTGCTCTGCCACTTGAGTTATACCCTCCCCCCGTATTATTATTATTATTATTATTATTATTATTATTATTATTATTATTATTATTATTATTATTATTATTATTATTGTGTGTGTGTGTGTGATCAGAACACTCCACATACGAGCTGGCCCCTCGGCAAACTGTTCAGCACACGACACTGCACCGGTGATGGGCCCAGGACCTGCCCACCTTGTAAAACTGAAATCTGCACCCTCTGACCCGCCCCACCCATCCGCCTCCCCCAGGCCCTGGCAACCACGCTCCACTCTCTGTATCCATGCATTTGGCTGTTTCAGGCTCCTTGGGGACGTGGAGCCATGTGGTACTTGTCCTCCTCTGCCGGTCTGATTTACTGAGCACACTGTCCACGGGGTCCCAGGACGGATGAAGGGATGGATAAAATGTACACACATATGATGGAATATTATTCTGTCATAAAAAGGGAAAGGGTCCTGCCCATTTTGACAACAGGGATCATGTCTTTGGCTCATGAAATCTGTTCTCCCATCCCTCAGCCCCTGCTCACCCTTCAGCACCCAATTCAGAGACCCGCCACCTCCAGGGAGCCCTCCGCCCCTTCCCAGAGGCCTCCCACAGCCCCAGGATTTCCACAGAGGCTGTGTGTCCTCCGCTTTATGCCCTGGGAATGTGACCACATGTCTGAGGCTGCCCGTTTCTGATCAGTCCCAGGTCCCCAGGCCCCACTCTGGGCAACTGCCTGCCCAGCCCTGCTCTCATTTTTTCCAGAACATTCTCCTCTGCACATCCCACCAACTTGGCCCAGAGCAAGTGCTCATTAAAGTGACCTGAATCAAACCAGGTACCAGGTCCATCCTAGGGCCGCTGTGCTGGACAGAGAAAAGGACTGGGTCTGGGGGTAGAGCATGGTACTGGGACCCTGACGTGCTCTGTGCTCCGGGAGGGGGTGCCCCGGGGCCCACCTGGCGGCGAGGATGTGCACGGGCTGGGAACGCTGCACCTTCTGCCGCGGGGACAGCTGCGGCTGGATGCACCTGGCTGCAGAGGGCGGCGGCGGACCACGGGTGTGCTGGCCGTTCTGCAGGAGGGGCGTCGTCTCCGACTGCATGCCACACGCCGAGCACAGACTCTCCAAGGACAGGCTCATGTCATTCACGAGGGCCTCCAGGTCCACGTCATCCTCTGTGCATCAGAAAGGAGAAGAAAAGAAAAAAAGAAACCTTAGCAGCAGTGAGGTCACAGAGCTGGACCCCCACCCCAACCTCAGCTGGCGGATCACAGGTCCACAATGAGCCCTGAGTGGGGCCGATCAGGGCTGCTCCCTTCCCTGAGGTTCCAGAAGACAAGCATCCAGTGGGAACGGAACAGCATCGGACACTGACAGCAGCCTGGCCTGCTAAGGCCACCGAGTGGACGGGCTCCCTGGGCGGCCACTGATGGAACATGCAGCCCCCAGCTGCCCCTCCTCCGCCCTCGACTGGCCCGAGGCTCCGAAGGGTCATTTTACACATCAGCTTGGCCGGAACACAGTACCCAGAGTCAGTCCATCTTCATCCCAGACGTTTCTGTGAAAATGTTTTTTTTTTTCTTAAGTTAAATCGTGCCTGCTAAACTGAGCAC